AAGCTCCCTCTACGTTTCCCTGTCGTTTCCTCACCAGCGCACAGCGAGCCATCAGAAGCCTCACTAGAAGTAGGAGCTCAATTGTGAGGTGGAAGCACACGTATCAAAACTTCAGGTGTGGATGGCAGGTTACAGATCACATGGAGTGGGCTGTGTCACATAGGGCTACTACATACATAACTGAGATGTTTAAATGGCAGGTAGATAATATTACTACTACTTACATTTGATATAGAGCCTTATCACATCAAAAAGTCTCAGTGCTTCACAGAATTGTGGAGTGAATGTGTATTTCCCAACAACTAATTTGTTCACAGCAATGTTCCACAGACAGCCATGAATTGAATAACTAATTATTTTTATCTGGGGGTTGTTGGCCAGGACACTAGGAGAAACTCGCTTCTCTTTTCGAACAGCGTCATGGGCTATTTAATGTCCACCTGATCAGGCAAACGGTGACCTCATCCGAAAGAAGGCACCTCCAGAAATGCAACACCCCCCAGCCCTGAACTGGAGTGTTAGCTTACTGTAAGGTCAACGTCCTGATGAACCCACAACCTTCAAACTCAGAAGCAAGAGACTGTTACCACCAAACCAGGCTAATGCTTGCTAAGTAAGGTTTTAAGGGATTTGGAGAAAAGGCAGGAAAATGGGATTAATGCGGAGAAGGAAATTAGAGTGGGGGGAGGGAACAGAAGAGGGAAAAATATAATACGTACCTTTGAAAGCTGAGATGGAATGCAGACGATACGATGATCTGGATTATTCAATAAAGTCTCTCAAAAAATCTGGCAGCTGTCTCACATTACGTGCACAAAACAACATCTGGGCTCTGGCCACTGAGCTCACAGCCATCAGTCACACAGTGCTTCACAGCTGGACACAACATCAGCCCCACTTAAAGGATCAAACTGAGGATCATAATAGTAATATGCATTTGATATGGCACCTTATCAACTCATTGAGACGTCTCAAAGCGCTTCACAGCATATACTGTAAAGGTGGATTGACTGTGTATTTTGGGGGCCAACTAGTTTGAGTGCAGCAATGCCAAGAAACGAGCGACCAATTTTATTTGGGGCATTGTTGGCCAGGACCCCGGGAGAGAGAAACTCCATTCTCTTTTTGAATAGTGCCATGGGATCTTTAACGTCCACCTGAACAGGCAGATGGGACCTCGGTTTAACATCTCACCTGAAGGACGGCACGTTCGACAATGAAACCCCCCCCAGCGCTGCATTGCAGCGTCAACTTAGAATACGTGATTCCAAGTCCCGAGCTTGATTGGAGCTTGAAACCACAACCTTTTGAGACAGAGGTGAGAGTGCTACCAGCTCGCCAAGCTGACACATGGAGATGGGAGGAGGTTAATGGGAAGAGGATCCACAAGTCAATCCTCCCCGGAGCCTTACCGTAATTCCCACTATCCCAGCGGGGTCAGCCGGGCTCGCTCCAGTTACAGCCTGTCCTTTTGGTTCATATTTTTATTAAAAAAATGCTAAAACTGGCAGTCAGAGAACACATTGCTGCTGATACAAGATTGGGGGAGAGAGGAACAAACGATACCATCTCACTATACGGGTTACTGTGTGTCAGAACCACTTGCAGAACCTTACCCTGGGGCTCAGTGAGGAGAGAGGAGGACCACTGAGCACAACATCACGATAGATCCCAGGGTCTCTCTCTCTCTCACACACACATCTCCACTGTGAGAGTGGGAGCCTGAGATGAGTGCATCTTAATTGGGGATTAGGTATAGCACGGCTAGAATTGGCATTTTTAAATGGGTGGGGGAAAACCAACTTAAACACGGTTACTTAAAAATTATAAGAACAACAACTTTATACAGCGCCTCTCATGCACGGTAGCGTCCCAAAGAGCTTGATATAAGCGAGATGACCCAGAATAACGAGATATAATAAAATAATAATCCTTGCATTTGATATAATAATGCCTTATCACATTGTTGAGATGTCTCAAACCACTTCACAATAGTGTAAAGTGGAGTGACTGTGTATTTTGTGGGTGAAACTCAGCAGCCAGTTGACGTACAGCAATGTTCCACAAACAGCCATGACGTGAGTGACCAATGTTATTTGGGGATTGTTGGCCAGGATACCGGGAGAGAGAAACTCCCTTCTTTTTTTGCAATAGCGCCGTGGGATCTTTAACATCCAGCTGTGGGGTTCCTTTCCAATTCTGATTACCATCTGGCAAACCCAGGTGTAAAGTCTCCATGTTCAACCCCCTCCCCCACTCTCTCTCTCCCCCACTTCCGCCCCCCACCGATCGAATCGTGTGCCGAAACCTACTGGAACGCCAACATCATTCCCAGGCCAGACCCGCTCCCCCACCCGCTCACCTTTTGGTGAGACTGAAGAGAACTGAACAGAGGGAAGGAATGGGGATAAGGGGGGGCTGTCTGACTGGGGGCTACCTAACGAGAGGTGGTGGGCCGGCCCCTGGCGACCGTTCTCCCCTTGCACTGCTGTTGTTCATTAGAAAATTTACAAACAGAAAACACTTTCACACATTAATCCGCATTCCACTGGCCCTGCAGATTACCGCTGGAAACAATGTGTGTTTTCTAATCTAATCCACATATTGTAACCAAAGAAAATTGCAGAGCACACAATAATAGAAGGGAAGCTGTCCCTCTGCACTTCCATCCAGCACTCCCAGGTCAGCTAGCGCACGGGTTAGATATAGAGCAAATCTCCCTCTACACTGTGCATCAGCACGTCAGGTGGCTCTAAACACTAGCTGTCGAGTGGCTGCCCTGACTGACAATTTAGCTCCGATTATATTGGAATGCCAGTCATCACTCTCCTCATAGTCAAAGCCTGATTGAAGATGTTATCTACCAGGCAATAAGGGGATGGGTGGGGGGAGCATGCAAGAAGAGAGGTACGGAGAGACAAAGAGCCCGTATACGCACCGCCCTGGAGCCAGGCAACAGTGCCGCACATACTGGTCTTCCTTCCCCACTGAGCTTCCAGTCAGAGCTCCTGCAGAGCGGTCCAAACTCACTTCCTATTAAATAATATGCCTTAACACGCGTCCTATTAATACAAACTGCATCAGCTGCCCTGCACCCCCGCCTCTCTCTCTCTCTCTCCCACCAACAAAGCCTTGTTTGTAGCCTAGAGGCATTGTGTAGGGCAGGAACGGTTGGCAGGACTGAGCAACACATAATACAAAAATGGCACATTCCACGTCTCACCCAGGGGTACCCCAGTCTGGCCAATCCCATGCCCTGACTAGCAATTTCACTCCCTCCCACTCCATCTCTTGATTCCATCTCCTCCCTCGGCCTTGCCTCCTGCCAACAATCCCATCCCCTGGTTACAATGGGCTCCAGCTATGTTATATGTCTAGGATTTCACCCCTACCTCATCCTCACTGTTTCGGAGGCCCTCATTCATCACCTCTGGCTCAGCTTTCTCCAATCCTCTCCTCGCAGCTCCACACCCTGACTACCTATCTGTTCGGCAAGCACTGGCCTTGCTCCACATTCCCGCGTCCTGCCCGCTGCACCATCTGCGGTTGGGCTTTCAGCCTTTCTGCCTACACCATTCCAGAGTCCCTTCGCCTCGCCCCTTCCTTACTTCCTTCAAGTCCAGTCTCAAGACATTCCTCTTTGACTGTGCATTCGGTCATCCTCCCACCACTACCTCCTTGTCTCCACCCCTCTTGATCCCAACCCACAGCTCAGATGCAAATCCCTCATTATCCAGTTCCTTGGGACATCCTCTCAATGTGAATGGCACTATAGAAATGTTGTCCAGCTGAACCCAGTCGCACACCTCCTACAAGGCAAATGTAACCAGTGACAGTAGATCAGACCTCTGCCCAGACCCTGCAAGGTGAAATTGGGAGGCAATCACAAGGGCTGCTGACTGCAGTTCCTGAAACTGACAAGTGGTTGGGATGGGATGTGGCGGTGGGAGGGCTGAGATGGGGGGATGGAGGGGGGAGTGCTGGGAGAAGCTAATCCAAGGACGAGCTCCTTCCTTCCCCCCCCACCCGGCGTGGTTGTGCTGTAAACAAATTCTCTGCCAATGTCTTTACAGAGAAGGACACTCACCAGTAAACACAGAACAAACAGAAATGTGATCGAGGTCACAGCGTCTATTTGTGAGCGTTGGCAAACATTAAAGGAGCAGCCTCACCATCATTGCCTTGCTCTACTGTATCAATAGCGATGCCTTCAGCACCCCAACAGTGACCTCCTGAGGGTACGAGTTTAGAGCTCTCTCTCTCTCTGACTGACTGGGCCAAGGCAGCTGATAGTCCCTGAAGAACGTTAAGGCTTTCCTCTTCGACCGAGCTTACAGTTACTTCCCCCCACTTCGGAGTCAGGCTCCACCACTGTTAAGTGCTCCAAGATCCTGGCCCGCGTGAAGGGTGCTGCAGAAATGCAAGTTGTTGTAATCATACTGCTGCTCAGGTTCTGCTCTGAGACAGTGACACCGCCCCTTTAAGGGGAACATTACTAACTTGAGCGCCGAACGGTTGAGATTTGAAACAGAGTTGGCAAACAGCGCAGAGCAGTTAGTTAGCTGATCTCAGCCGAGCTTACAAGAGGGGGGTGGGTTACAGAGGGGCAAACTCCAGCCCAAATAAAAATATTAATCTTTGCATTTGATAATAGCATCTTTGAAACGTCTCAAAGTGCTTCACAGAACATCCTGCAAAGTGAATAGTTTGTATATTTTGCTCACTTTATTTTTCTTGGGGGGGTGGGGGGGGGCAACAACAACAACAACAAGATCTTGCACTTACACAACGCCTTTCACGGGAGGACGTCCCAAGGCGCTCGACTGTCATCGGTTTGCACAGAGCCAAATTCCAGCCCTCCGCTGGAATGTGTGAGCGGACAGACAGCAGGTGAGGGCAGGACTGGTCTTGACAGTGTGACGGTGTGTCTCCCCTGCCCTCTCCCCCCCCCATACACACACCACCAACCCTTTCACGTCCAATACCAAAGCCATATTTACCGTCAATCCTTGAATAACAACAGCAAGTCGATCAGCGAGCACATTGTCACATACAGACATACAGACGGACAGGGAGCTCACAGTAGCTCGGCTTAGGAGACGCTCTTCAAAGACACAGTGATTTTCTGTGGGCACGTAAACATCTGGCTGGCTGACCAAGGCAGGAGAAAAAAAACACTTGAGAGCTTATCTGTGGGGGGGGGGGGGGGGAGAGGGGGGGGGGTTTGAAGTGGGGGAGAGAAAGAGTCCAAAAGTCCTCAGGGAAGAGAGGGAAGGAACTTGGCAAAAAAAAAGCAGGCTGGAAAGCTGAGGTAATGGAGTGATTCCTGAGCAGGGACTTTTACAGCATCAACAGCATGTCTTCCAGTTCAGTTACCAGGGCAAAGCTCCTTCTGATAGAGGGAAGGGGTATATTTCAGCTTGTCCAGCAGCAATGGCCCATTCCAGCCCAGCTCAGCCCAGCCCAGCACAGCATAAACCAGCTCAACACAGTCTAGCCCGGAGTCCAGCCCAGTGCTCAGCACAGCTCAGCTCAGGGCTCAGCACAGCCCAGCACAGGGCTCAGCACAGCCCAGCACAGGGCTCAGCACAGCCCAGCACAGCCCAGCACAGGGCTCAGCACAGCCCAGCACAGGGCTCAGCACAGCTCAGCCCAGCACAGGGCTCAGCACAGCCCAGCTCAGCCCAGCTCAGGGCTCAGCACAGCCCAGCACAGGGCTCAGCACAGCCCAGCACAGGGCTCAGCACAGCCCAGCACAGGGCTCAGCACAGCCCAGCTCAGGGCTCAGCACAGCTCAGCCCAGCACAGGGCTCAGCACAGCTCAGCCCAGCTCAGGGCTCAGCACAGCCCAGCACAGGGCTCAGCACAGCCCAGCACAGGGCTCAGCACAGCCCAGCACAGGGCTCAGCACAGCCCAGCACAGGGCTCAGCACAGCCCAGCTCAGGGCTCAGCACAGCCCAGCACAGGGCTCAGCACAGCCCAGCTCAGCCCAGCACAGGGCTCAGCACAGGGCTCAGCTCAGCCCAGCACAGGGCTCAGCACAGCCCAGCTCAGCCCAGCACAGGGCTCAGCTCAGCCCAGAGCTCAGCACAGCATAAACCAGCTCAACACAGTCCAGCCCGGAGTCCAGCCCAGGGCTCAGCCCAGGATAAGCCACATTCCCAGCACAGCGCAGCCTCCGGGAACTTAAACCGCAAGAGCGCAAGTGAGACGGACTGAGCCACTCACTCACTCACTCACTCACTCACCCACACTCGGGCTTTCCGGGGCTCCGCCAGCAATGCCGCTGTGTCTCTGCTCAGGTCTGTCTGTCTGTCTGTCTGCCGACTCCGGACCCCCCCCCCCACCCCCCGGGGCTCCCTGTGTCCCTGTCTGTGTCCCTGACTCCCAGACAGCACACGCGCACTGCGCAGTCTCCCGACAACTACTGCCCAACTTTCCCAAAAACTTTTTTTTTCCTCCTCCCACACACCACTCACTCACACAAAACTTTTTCTTCCCCTCTTTTCCCTCTTTCCTCACCGGCACCTCCTCCTCCTCCTCCTCCTTCTCCTCCTCCCACCACCACCACCACCGCCGCCGCAACTTGCACTCGGGAGCGCTTATCTCACCGGCGTACCGCAGCCCCCCAGCCCGACCCCCTCCCGACTGTCCCCTATTCCGTACGATTCTACCGAACCGTGGAATTACGCAGCGGAGGCCGTTCGGCTCAATGTTGATTGTCCCTTAACCAGCGTAACCCGCTGATAGCTCGACCCCCGTTTAACTTATCTCTACCGCTTAAGGCTTCATATCCCAACCAACGTATTTATGTATCTTAAGCGTTCCGAGACGCCACCCACGGAATATTATTATTATCATTATAATAAATCTGTTTATAGCTTTCGGGCAGTTTTTTTTTTGAGGACCAGGAATACCTCGTTCGCCCGCAAAATATCCTGTTACGCCACTTTACAATATATCCCGTGAAGCGCTTTGGGAATTTCCCAAAGAACGGATGAGACGTTAAACCGACATTAAACTGAATGTCGTATGTATTTAGAAGTGGAGGCAGGGTGAGAGCACGCAGTGTAAAGTGATATATCCTCCTCTTCGACTGTGCCTTTGGTCACCCTCCAACCCCCTACAGGCGTCCTGGAGCTCAGTGGTTAAAGCGCTCGCCTCACAAGCGAGAGACCTGGGTTCGATTCCCGGCAGAGCGAGACCTTGGGCAAGTTTCCTTACTCCGCACGCCTGATAATAATCACTCAAGAAAAAAACCCAATAATAATTTGATCAGTTCAATCCACTGTGGGACACTGCTGTGCGCAATTGGCTGCCGCGTTTCGCCTGAAAACATACAGTCAATTCACTTTACAGCATATTCTGTGAAGCGCTTTGAAACGTCCAGAAGACGTGAAAAGCGCTATATCAAATGCAAGGATTATTATTATTATTATTACCCTCCCTCCCGATCCCAAGCCCCAGCTCGGGTCCAAATCTCTGACTATCCAGGACCTTGGAACATCCTCCTGACATGGAAATGTAATGTGTTGTTGTTGTAAAGTGGCTGGAAATGACCAAGCTGTGATGTCTCCCGAGTTATACAATCTCTTCGCAATCACTGCTCAGAAAACACTGTGTGCGATTGGCGCCACCTAGTGACTGCGGTGCCAAACCCAGGAAAAGTTCACCCCCGCGTTAGAAAATCCCATGGCTCCCCCCGCTATCCTGGACAACGCCCTGTATCAAATGCAAGGATTATTATTATTAGGTATTTTAAGCGAAAGGCTCAGACTTGGACCAGGTAATGGGAATGCAAAAGAACTCCAAAGCCCCACTGATGGGAAATTCACAGGCCAACTGCTGTGCTTCGAGGTGAAGTATTTTGCCAACACTCGCGTTCCTGTGTATGAAGAATTACTTGTGAAGTTACCTTTAAGAAGCAAAAGGCAATTAAAAAGGGCCAACGAAACCCATCACCGTGCTGAAGAGTATCCAAACCAGACTGAGAATTCCATACATCCCACTCATACATGGAAATCCCAGAGATAGATTGTTGGAATGGAATGCACTCTCTCTCCCTGGATGGACGCATCCCGCTTACCTAATTCCAGAAAGTATTAGGCGCAGTGTTGGCAAGAGCCAAGGCTTGGAGACCCCAAGATGTGCGTTGGTGGTACTGCTGGAGTCTAAGCAGCTAAAACCGCATAGCTTGCCATTGATATCGCTGTCTGGCGAACTTTCCCACTGCTTGTCCAGCTAGGTCAAGTTAGGTATGTTAAGAGCTTTGGCTTGCAGGGATAACAGGAGCTGAATGGGAGAATTCCCTGCCCCCAGTGACGGGTTTGCCTTTCCAAATCTTGCTGATAAGCCCATCCTGTGTTGTCATCAGCAGTGCCCTCTAGTATTGCCGACCGTCTGGGCTCAGGAACTGGACAACCGAGACCGCCAAGGGCACCAGGGTGTGGGTTTGTGGTTGGTGTAATGGGAGCAGAGAATAAAGGAGTTAATTGATGCACCAGTGCTATGGATTGAGAATCATCACAAGTTGGACGAGCGACTGAAGGTTGTTGGTGCCTGTGGGAATGACTGTGAACTGATAGTGTCTTTAGGAAAGGGGAGGAAAAGTGGCAAAAAAGTAGAAGAGAAATGGAATCAATCACACACACACACACACACACACGCATACCAAGGACATTTTCACATGAACAAAATCTGAGGTGTGGATTGTTGGGGTACAAATAAAATTTAATGTACAAATAAAAAAAAGCTGTAAGAGGAAATAAAAGATTAAACTTGCGCATGAATTAGGGGTTTGGAAATGTGGAAACTTGCAAAGAAATTACACAGAATGAATGACTTTACAACAAAATACAGCAGATACCTGAATATTCAGCTCAGCGGGAAAAAAATCACAACCAGATTCTGGGCATCATCACACTTGTACCGGAAGTGCATCTTACAAGAGCCAGTGGGGAACTCTAACCAGAAAGACATCTTAACACATCCAGCCACAGCGCAGTGCAGTCTGACCGACCAAGTTAAAAAGCTGTGGAAGTGCGACCAGAAAATAGATAAATTTCAAAGGAAAGTGTGAGCTGGAGCTGAGCAAAGTCCTAATGGGAAGCTCTGTGTCTCAGTGATGTCAGTGTGACCAGCCTAAGGTTAAAGGCCCCATCCATAGTGGAGGACAGGAGTAAAATCTGGCTGCTAATAACAAGGCCCCTTCCCAATATTTTTTTCACCTCCTCCCGAGATGGGAAAACTACATTTTTCTTCTCCTGGAGTATGGTTGCACAGGCAACCTCTGGAAACTCACCCCATTCTATACAGCATGCATTGAGCTTTGATACCGAGTATTGGCAACACATTGGCAATACATTCTGTCCAGCATTGGTCTCTGGGAAGCAAATAGAGGAGATGGATGATTTTCTCCTCTACCTGACCCCAGGAGGTGGGTGAATTTTGGCCTTAACTCCATTGTAGCCCTCAATTGCTGCCCTGTCTGAGATCAACTAACCCTAGCCCTGGATTCGAACCTGATCCCACTCTATGGGGATCAGCTACATTCACTGGATAAACCTGCTGAACTACCTGGAGGAAGGGAACATGCAGAAATCCATGGGATTTTCCTCCCAGGCTTTTCACGCTTGGCGTCTCCTCAAAATGGAAAAATGCCACAGAAACAGGAAATGCAATGTGTTCCAATATCTAAGAGATGTGGTTTGAGTGGGAATAGGAGAGGAGTGGCTGTCTGTAAGGATACAGAGAAAAACTAACATAGCGAGATTTAGCATCTAAAAGAGATGGTTGGATTCACTGGGAAGCAATTTCATGGGAGCTCAGAGCTGGGTGGGAAATGGGCACAAATCATAGATACTGGAGCAACAAGAGGAAGGTCATTTCTACCACTGTTTAGTCTCCGACCTATCATCAAATTCCTCGTCTCTATTCTGGAGGATTTTGGAAAGGGAGGAGGTGAGGTGGGGAGGGGGGAATGGCAACTTCCCAAAGTTGGCTACTCAGTACCTGGGGGGTGGGGGGTGGGTGGGGAGTAAGAACATCTCATCAAGGTTTAGCTCTTGTGCTGGCTATTTATTGCAAGTTTCATGCAGTGGAGTCTAATTCATGGGATTTGTAAATAGATTCACAAGTATCCTGCAGATACCTGGAGGTGAGCCAGACTGACCCACCAGAACAGTGCTCGGAAGCAACCTGACTTCCACGATCTTGGCTAGAGGGAGCTCACGGCAGGCCTCAAACTCACCAAGGTAACCCACAGCATTCCACCTTTGCAAATCTGCCTCCCCACCCCCCACCCTCACAATGTGGGGTGTGTTCCAAAGCTGCCCTCAACTGCTCCAGGCAGAGATCACTTTGTCAAGAGTTGGGCTCAGGATATGAACAATAGTCAAATTCCAATTGAAAATGAACTGAGTGATCCTGGCACACTCCAGCCTGGATTATCATGCATACAGTCTACATTCATCTATGCAGTGGAACAGTATGGTTCACGGGTGCAATAAACTCGAGAGCAGACTTGAGGCCTCTTGTCCATGGGTCCCAGCCAGATAAGCTGGGTTGGGTTGGGGGTGGGGGGAGAGGAAAGGGGAGCAGAGGAGACAAAAGCTTGTTAATTCTACTGTTGTTCCCCCTCCCATTTACCCAGGTGCCATGCAGACAGTCGGAGCTGAAGATGTGAACTGGGGCAAGTGGCTTATTCTAGGCGGGTACGAGAAAGCTAGTGTCCATTTCAAAACAACACGCAAATGGGTTTTGCCAACACATCGGTGGCATTTATCTGTACCAAATCCTCACACTCAAAAAAAATATTAAACTAGACTTTCATTTCCTTCCCCCCACAATCCCTCCATCCCCCCTCCCCGCTCCCCCCCCACCCAAACCCCCAGTCCAATGGTGCTAGTCAATGAGAATTCCTGGTCACCAGGAATCAGACTGGCTTTGCGTCCATGGCCATCAGCTTCTTTGTGTCATCCGCGGTGGAACCCGTGGAGCTGGCGGCACTCGGCTGCTGCCTTCGCAGATTCCTCTTCTTCCTCATCTTCATCAGGTAATAGCCAAGGACAGCCAGGACCACCAGGATGCAGATCGCCAGCACTATCAAAATGGCAACGCCAGCTAGAGACCGCATGGAGCGAGAGCAAGAGGGAGAGTTAGAGAGAAAACTTCACAACAGTTCCTATACAGTAAAACTCACATAAGTCGTATCAGTCAGGATCACAACATTTAATACGACTTATGCAAAGCCAAGGCAAACTGCGTAAGTCATATGAAATCCAATTTAACCGGTAAGCTACAAGGCGCATGCATAATTTAATGCAGCTGGTAAGTGCACATGCGGTGATGGGTCAAGACTACGTTTCCCATGATTCAATGCTTTTTGACCCATCGACACACATGCAGTTACTGGCAAGTGTTGGGATCGCATTTGAATCGCAGGAAATTAAATTCTTCTGCGCACGATATCAATGGTAAGCTCTGTGTTTTGGTTGGTTAGACTCCAACATTACCCCTCAATGCACACCCTGAGGTCCCCAAGCCTCCAGGCTCCAGGGAGAGAGTGCACAATCCATTCCAACAATCTATCTCTGGGATTTCCATGGGTTGGTGGATGTATGGAATTTTCAGTTTGAGTTTGGATACTCTTAAGCACGGTGTTGGGTTTTCACACGTGTCAAGACACACCCAAAAAATTAAACTGGTGGCTGTTTATTCACACACCAAACAATTCTAAAGTGATGTCAGCTCCAACATAGGTTGCCAGTCTAATTCCTGGTGACCATGATCAGGAAGCCAGACATTGGTTGCGTGGAAGGCTGCCTGACATTTTGAAATAAGCCCGCCAGCATTTCGCATGCATTTTGGATCGTTTGGTATGTATATTTTGGGGCTCAAACCTCAATTACTTACAAGCAAGCCCATGTCACATTGACAGGTTACATCAGCCCTTGGGCCTGAGGAACAGGAAATAGGTACGTGGGAGCTTCGAGGAATGTTAACTCACTCGATCTCATCTGACAAATAGAAGTATCTTCCTTCACTCCCTGTCCCACCTGACAGCTCGAAGCCAAAATCCCACTCATTCTAGGAACATAGGAACAGGGGGAGACCATTCAGCTCCTCGAGCCTGTTCTCATATTCTATTAGATCATGGCTGATCTTACCTCAACTCCATTTACCCACCTTTGCTCCATATCCCTTAATACCCTGACTTTACAAAAATCTATCCACCTCAGTCTTGAAAATTTCACCTCTAAATCGCCTAGCTCCAATTTTAAGATGTTGCCCCCTTATTCTGGATTCCCCCACCAACCAGAGGAAATAGTTTCTCTGGATCTACCCTATTGAATCCCTTTATCATTTGAAATATTCTACGTTAATAACATGAATAGTTCAATAACATGAAGTAGAATGCAAGCATTTCACCCACAAAATACAGTCAATCCATTTTACAATATATTCTGTGAAGCGCGTTGAGACGTCTCAACGACGTGCTAAGGCGCTGTATCAAATATAAAGATTATTATCATACAACTTCAAATCAGAACAGAAAAATAGGGATGTGCAGTCAGGTAGTGCACATTGGGGTGGGGGGGGGTGGGGGGAGTGAGGATAAATGGAGTTAGCGTACATGGCGGTGGAAACCTTTAACCTCTGGGAACAGTCTCAAGTCATGGGATAAAAGCAGTTCTGCTATAACTTGGTTTGTTTCACACCAAAACCTGCTACTTTTAATGAGTTGAGGAACAGCTCAAAAATAAACTGACCACAGAATGAGTGGTGCCAGAAATGGGATGTTACACTGATATGGCGATGGCTGTACTTCTGCCTTTATACACAGTCGATCACGCCATCCTCCTCCACTGCCTTTCCTCCGTCATCCACCTCAGTGGGACCGCACTCGCCTGGTTCGAGTCCTACCTCACGAATCGCCAGCAGTACATGTACACAAACGGCTTTTCCTCCCGCTCTCACCCGATTACCTGCGGGGTAACCCAAGGATCCATCCTTAGCCCCCTCCTCTTCCTAATCTATATGCTCCCTCTGGGGGATGTCATCCGCAGATATGGGGTACACTTCCACATGTATGCGGACGACACCCAACTCTATTTTTCTACCTCACTTTGCGACCCCCAGTCCCCTGATGTTGTCAGACTGCCTGCCAGCCAGACATCAGGGGCTGGATGAGCGCAAATTTCCTTCAGCTAAATGTTGGCAAGATGGGAGTCATACTCTTTGGCTCTCGTCAACATCTAAAATCTCACAGTTCTCACTTCCTCCACCTACCCGAACCCCCTAAAACTCTGTGAACCTGTACACAACCCCCAATTATCTTCCTCCGCCACATCCAGTCCCTCACCGGCACTGCCTTCTTCCACCTCCGACGCATCGCCTGTCTCAGTCAATACCTCACTTCAAAAGCCACTGAAACCCTGGTCCATGCTTTTGTCATCTCTCGGCTGGACTATTCAAATGTCCTCCTCGGCAGTCTCCCCTCCATTATCATTCATAAAATCCAGGTCATCCAAAACTCTGTCGCCTGCATTCTTACCCGCACCAAACTCCGCTCCCCGATTACCCCAGTCCTTGCCTGACTGCACTGGCTGCCTTTCCCAGAGAGCATCGACTTCAAGATCCTCACCCTTGTCTTCAAATTCCTCCACTACTCTGCACCCCCTACCTCTCTGACCTCCTCTCTCTCACAACAGCGTCTGTTGCCTTCGCTCCACCGGGTCTGGCCTCCTCCTTGTCCCCTGAATCCTCCGCTCCACCATTGGCGGCCGTGCCTTCAGCCACTATGCCACGAGGCTCTGGAACTCCCTTCCTCACTCCCTTCACCTCACTCCCTCTCTTCCTATTTTCAGGTCTTGGCTGAAGACCTTTCCTTTCGACAGCGCCTTTGGTCACCTTCTTTCGCCCACAAATATACAGTCAATTCACTTTACAGTCTGTTCTGTGAAGCGCTTTGAGATATCGAGAAGATGTGAAAAGCGCTATATCAAATTCAAGGATTATTATTATATTATTCTTCGCCCCCCCCCCCCCCCCCCGGCTCAACCCCGGGATCTGTTACTGTGAAGCACTCTGAGACGCCGTCCAGCGTGGAGGGCGCTATATAAATCCAAGTTGTTGTTGTTGTATAGAGACTGAGTCCCATAGCGTAGTGGTTAGCGCCTTGCAAGTGAGAGGACCCGGGTTTGATTCCCAGGCATGGAAAAAACTTAGGCAAGTTTCCTTACTCCACACACCTAGCACTAAGTAGGAACCTGGTCGTTAGTTGATTGATGGATTGCTTTCCACAATCCATGTGGAATGGGACTGATAATCCCTCCCCCAACTTTTAAAAGTTTGGTCACTCAATCCACTTACATTTTTTAAGGTATTCGGCTAACGCCAAAAGGCATAACTAGTGTTTGTGGGACACTGCTATGTGCAACTGGCTGCTGTGTTTCACTCACAATCAATCCACTTTACAATATATTCTGCGAAGTGCTTTGAGATGTCTCAACAATGCGATAAGGCATCTTACCAAATGCAAGGATTATTAACATTATTAATGCTGCACCTGTCTTTGTAGTGCTCAACCTTAAACACAGGAAACTGCTCATTCAACTCACTTTGACGAGCATTAAAATTCATCAAATGGTTAAATTACCCATGCAACAAAAACATCCTTGATATTAGTAGCCCAGTTGGAAGACGAGACACTCACCATTGGATTCCTTTTGCCCCTGCCTTTCAAATAGTCCTCGTGAAAACACGTCTTTCTCTAGGAGATAAAACATTAACGCTGCGTGAGTCACACTTACCGCAATCCCGAATGATGCACCCTGTGGTTGATGCTGCTCTTGTTGCCTCTAGGTCAGAAGTTTGTGGTTTCGGGTCCCACGTGAGGACCTGACTGCAAACTCACTGCTCATCGACCTCCCCAACTCCTCCCTCCATAGGCTGCAGATCATCCAGAGCTCTGCAGCCCGTGTCTTCTCCCGCACCAGGCTCCGTGAGGCTATCATCCCCTCCTTTGCCCGACTCCACTGGCTTCACATTACACTCACTTTCAAAGCCCTCTATAGCCTTGCTCCCCTCCCGTACCTTGGTGACCTCCAACCCCCTACCAACCTGTCAGCTCCTTCCGCTCAGCGGGCTCTGGCCTGATTCAAGTCCCCCACCTCACCAGCCCCATCATTGGTATGTGGGCGTTCAGCCACTCTGCCCCCACCCTCTGGAACTCCATCCCACAGTCCCTCTGCCTCGCCCCCTCCCTTGCTTCCTTCAAGACCCGTCTCAAGACCCTCCTCTTTGACCATGATTTCATACTGTCCCAATTGTTATGGGAGCTCAAACTCATTAACGGAGGACACAAGAACAGGATTAGGCCATTCAGCCCCTCGAGCCTGTTCTGCTACTCTATAAGATCATAGCTGATCTATACCTCAATTCCAATGTCCCGCCTTTGCCCTATATCCCTTGAATAGAGCAAGCCCTGGAACAGCTGACATGTTGAGTGCTCAACCAATGAAATGTAGATTCCTACCCGTCACTCCTCTGCACATCAGCATGCAATCGTGTTCATCCTGAAAATTGTTGCCGTTGGGATTGCAGCCTCCATACGTGAAGCGTTCACACTTCCTCTGGTAGGGGTTGTAGTAAAAACGGATGAAGTGGGCGCGGCAGGAGCCAGTCATGGGGGGCTCCACACAGCGAACTGCAAATCAGAGCGAGATTGCAAGGTTACATCTTCAAAACAGGACCTACAGTCTCAAAACTCCTCATGACCTCAAGCCCTAAAATATTGTCACTCCACCACTAATCGCCGAATACCAGTCCTTGCCAGCCTCCACCTGCTCCCTGTCACAGAGCGGGTCAATTTCAAGATCCAAACACTCATCTTCAAATCTCTTCAGGCCTGGAACCTTTGTATCTGTCCGACCTGCTTACTCCCCAATTCACTACCCGTCGCCTCTGCTTGAATGGCTCCTGCCTCCTTGTCCCTCGTGCTCCCCGTTCCATCATCGGCGGCCGCACTTTCAGCCACTATGCCCCGAAACTCAGGAACACTTTCCCTCTGTCTCTCCGCCTTGCCCCCTCCATCTCCACCTTCAAGTCCCACGTGAAGATCTTCCTCTTTGACAGTGCTTACATTTACCTTCCCACCCCCAGGTTCCACCTAACAAGCACTCTGAGATGCTACCCTGCGATAGGGCTGCTATATAAATGCAAGTTTTTGTTGTTATTCATTTGGATTAACAACTTTAAGAGAAGTGCGAAAACCATCTTCTGAACGGAGCCAGAATTTTGCATGATCTTACATTTTTTAAGGTCTTAGGTTAATGACGAAAGGCATAACTCATGTGATTCTCACAGAAAACAAACAAGAATTGGTTGTGTAACGATTTGCGCTAGAATACTTGAAAGGCAAACCTTTCTCTTTGGAGACGTCAATTTTTAGCAGGTCTCCGAATCGATCTACAACTGAAAAGTAAAAGTAGACAAGAGTAACAGGGGATATAACAATAATGATCTTCGCATTTGATATAGCGCATTTCATGTCTTCTAGACGTCTCAAAGCACTTCACAGAATATACTGTAAAGTGAATTGACTGTATATTTTGTGAGCGAAACGGAGCAGCCAATTGCGCTTGTAGAGGAAAGGCGGGTAAATGGAGTTGAGGAACAGATCAGCCATGATCTAATAGAATATTGGAACAGGCTTAAGGGGCTGAAGGGCCTATTCCTGTTCCTATGATTGACCCAATTAGCTGCTCTTCAGTAAACTCCAGTTAAAATATGTACACCCCGATTTAGGAGAAACTAATCCAAGGTGGGTGGGCGGGAAAGTCCGGGGTCGAGCAGAGTAATGTGTAAGATAAGCAGAGGTTCTGTACTCACGTTGCTGGCAGGAGGTCTCGTCAGAATGATCATTGCAATGATCTACTTTATCACACTCCAGACTGGCATCGATGCAACAGCCATCAGAACACTTGAACTGCTGGCTTGAGCAGGCACCCGTGCAATCTGCCAGGAGAGTCACAGACAGACATCAAGCTCAGCATTACCTTTTATTTTAAATTCAGAGTTCAAAAGCTAAAGTTCAAAATCCTCATCCTCGTCTTCAAAGCCCTCCACGGCCTTGCTCCTCCCTACCTCTGTGACCTGCCAACTTCATATCAACCTGTCCTCTCCTCGTTCTGCACTCTGGTCAGCCACCCCACAATTGGGAGTCAAGCTTTCAGCCTCTGCCCCCACTCTTTGGAACCCCAACCTACAGTCCCTTCACCTCATTCCCCCCCCTTGCCTCCTTCAAGGCACATCTCAAGACCCTCGATCCCACCAGCCAGCTTGGGTCCAAATCCTTGACTATCCAGCGCCTTGGGACGTCCTGCTGACCCAAAAAGCATTAGACAAATGTAATTTGTTGTTGTTGTTTACTGTTACACACAAATCACATGCCTATTGCTCCTCCAATTTACCCTCCTTTCCTGAAGCCGTTTGAATGTTCCCCCGGCCAACACAGTTCCACAGTTGCTCTGGGGGCCTGTCCCAATAATAATAATAATCCTTGCATTTGATGTAGCGCCTTATCACATCATTGAGACGTGTCAAAGTGCATCACAGAATATACTGTAAACTGAATTGGCTGTGTAGTTGATGGGCAAAATTCGGCAGACAATTGCGCACTGCAGTGTCCCACAAAGTGTCGTGGATTGAGAAAACGGTTTATAACAGTTGAAGGGTCAAGAGAGTCAAAAGTGTGATGGAGAGGAAGGATGATGCTGTAGCCATGAGTATCAGAGGTGGGACCCTGAGGTGTTACTTACGTGGAAGTCCCGCCCTGCCAGTAGGCTTCTTCTCAACTGGGAAAGAAACAGAAGTTAGTCGAGTTTCTCTTTAACCTGAGACTCTTTCTCCTCCCCTCCCCTTCCCCCCACAAGGCCTGATAAGGCAACACCTCTGTGATGCCAGTTCCCATCATGCTAAACCACTCATTGTTTGCCATCATGTTAAACCTCTCATCAGTCTCATCATATTGCAGTAACCCTCCCGGCTTATCGGACTATCCAGAATGTGTACCTAGCTGGATCAGGCCCAAAAGCCAACATTTTTAAAACATTTCCGGTGGGCTCACATACGTGTAGCCTGCCGACGGCCACTCTCTTATCATGTCCCCCTGCCTCACTATGCTTGCTGGCCTTCAGTAGTCAGGGATATGTCTGGCCTTCAGCCTTTCTGCCCCCGCCCTCATGAACTCCATCCCGGAATCCCTTCACCTCGCCCCCTCCCTTGCTTCCTTGAAGACTCGTCTCAAGACCTTCCTCTTCGACTGTGCCTTTGGTCATCCTGATACCTCCACCCCAGTCCCCACCACTCAACAACAACAACAACAGGATTCCATTTATAAAGCGCCTTTCACGTCAGGAGGACGTCCCAAGGCGCTGCACAGTTGGGTCATGACCCGAGCAGGGGGGAAATGGTCAGGGTGAGGGGAGGGAAGGGAGGGAGCGAGGAGGAGGGAAATGGTCAGGGTGAGGGGAGGGAAGGGAGGGAGCGAGGAGGGGGAAGAGAATCGAGAGGGGAGCTGAAGGCTCGGTCAAAGAGAAAACCACCACTCCACCACCACCCTTGCCCTCGACCTCTCTTGATACCAATCCCGTGCTTGGATGCAAACCCATCACTGTGCAGCGTCTTGGGATGTCTTCAGATGTGAAAGATTGTATAAATTTGTTGTTGTACTGATATTGTAATTACACTTAGCCAGAAATTCTAGCTCGCCGGGCTGGATCTCTCCTCCCATTGGTCTGGCTAGCTGGGGTTTTAGTGTATAACAACTCTTGCATTTGATATAGCTCCTTATCAGGTTATCAAGACGTCTCAAGGGGCTTCACAGAACATATGGTGCGAAATGCCCACAAAATATAACAGTTTATCACATTAAACCAGCACTGACCTCCGACTCCATTGCAGGCCTGCCAGCACTCTTTCTCAGTCACATAGTTGTTTTGGTTGCCTTTGCAGCCGCCGTAGGTGAATTTCTCACAGACCCCACGTTTCCCATTGTAAGCCCAGCGCGGGAAGGCTCCTCGACACAGACCCACTTTCACATCCGCCATGCAGTGCTCTGTCACAGGGTGGACGTCCAGAGTTAATCGAGGAATCAAAGCACGATACTACACAACTCACCGACCTCACAACGCTTAAGATAGCAACCAGCAAGAAATGCCTGCAAGGGCTTTACAGAGTTAAAAAGTAATTCAACAAATGAAGTCAATGTTATTCAGGCAAACACGGAAACAACATTCTACATACAATAATTTGATGGTTAGCTAGGATTTGGATTGGGGAGGGAGTGTAAGCTAAGGTAACTACAAGAAAAAAAACATGTTTCGTAGAAATTGTGGCGCAGTGGACAGAACCTAAATGAACAAACTCAACCCAAAATAAACTCCAACGTAACGTAGAGTGTTATAAATAATATTAAATAAATAAATCATCCTTGCATTTGATATAGAGCCTGATCACATCTTCAAGACGTCTCAAAGCGCTTCACGGAGTACACTGTAAAGTGAATCGACTGTATATTTTGTGGGCAATACTCGTAGTTCCTCCTTTACACTTTGGCGGCTCTGTGGAAAACGCTGATCCCAAAGGCCAACCCAGGCAGGACCAAATGAACACTTGCTGTTGGGAATATCACAATGTGATGCCATGTCACTTCCTCTGGGCTCAGTCTCACACTCACCTAGTGACTGCGCAGGCGAGAGGACGGTGATGCTTATGTTGGCTGATGTATTCTGGCCGATGCTGTCCGTGACTGTCAGCTGGAAGACGTACAGCCCAACTTTCAGGTTTGTCACCTCGATCTCGTCTGGATTTTTCGTGCCCTGAAGAGCAAATAGACAGCATGGTGAGTCCAGTCCACCTGAGTTTTAAGCGCATCAGAGCCTGGCGCAGTGCGAGCACTCTCGTCTCGGGAGTCAGAAGGTTGTGAGTTGAAGCCCAACCCCCCGTCGAACTTGGGAATCACAGTTTAAGATGACGCACCAATGCATTGCTGGGGGACTCAATGCTATATCAAATGCAGGGATTACTATGATTAAATGGCTTCAACACTACAGTCATGTTGAGCACGAGACACCCACCCCACACTACCCAAAGACCACTCTGCGGGAGATGTCACCCTCCCACCACCATTACCCAGACATTCACTCCCCCCGCCCCGCCACCCTTTGCAGGAGACTCCTCTCCATCAACATCCAGAGACAGAGAAACCCTCCTACGCCCACCCTAGTGCCGTGCTTCCTATCAGAAATTCTCCTCTTCTGTCAGGGACCCCCTGCTATACCCAGTCAGAGAACACCCCCACGCCCAGCAGGAGATTTTCTCCTGCCCAGTGAGAGACCCCTGTACCAAAACCCCTCTCTGAGCAGATATGGCCTGTCAAACGTGACCAACCTCCATTCCTGCACAAGAGTGACATCCCCTTCTCCCTCTTAATGCTGGGATTAGACAGGCTCCAAGAGAACATAAGAACATAAGAATTTGCTGGACGAAAGAAGACCAAGGTCCATCCAGTTCACCTTCCACCATCCTGGCAGCCACATGCACATGTCATGTCCCAAACTATATACCATATCCCAAGATATTATTTCCGAAAAGAAAATGATCTAATTTGCTTTGGAAAGAATTGACAATAGCTGCTGCTACTGTCTTTTTAGTGAGCCTGTATTCCACACACTTACAATTACTACTATTAATAATAATCCTTTTGTTATAGCCCCTTATCACGTCGTTGAGATGTCTTGAAAGCGCTCCACAGAATATATTGTAAAGTGAAAGTGAAAATAAAGTTTCCGCAGATTTGTTTGAATTTACCCGTCTTCAATCACAGGCCGTGTCCTCTGATTGGTTTTGTTAGGGTAGATATAGGGAAGATGTTTCCAATTGTGGGGGAGACCAAAACCGGAGGCCATCAATATAAAATAGTCACGAATAGATCAAATAGGGAAGTTAGAAATTTCCTTGCACAGAGAGTAGTGGGAATGTGGAACATGCTACCACAAGGAGTTGTTGAGGCAAATAGCAAAGGGAAAGCTAAATAGTACATGAGGGAGAAGGAATAGAAGGTTTGCTTGAAGGCTTAGTTGAGGAAGGGCAGGAGGAGACTCATGTGGAGCATAAACACCGGCATAGACAAGTTGGCCCGAATGGTCTGTTTCTGTGCTGTATATTCTAATGTATTCTAATGTGTACTGTTCTGGACAGGATTAAACAGCTTTTCATGGTCTACATTATCTGGTCCCTTTAGAATTTTAGCAACCGCAATCATACCGCTTCTCAACCTTTTCCATTGTGAACGTGCCCAGTTTACTTAAAAAAAAGGAAAAGGGGATTTCCTTTTAACTACTTAAATGACCAGGAGCATCTGTAAGGTTCACAAATGCACCTGTGATGGTAGGAATCCAATGTGAAGGCACTCTGTTCTGACCAAAACAAAGGTAGGTTTGCTAAATCAAAGGTACTTGTGAAAGGAGCTGGTCCTTTTCAGAACAGGGAGGCACGATAGAAGAGAGAGCAAATAATGCACCAATCCAGCTGAATTCCATATTCAGGAGTTTTTCCCTCCAAACGATAATAATCCTTGCAACTGATATAGCACCTAATCACATCGTTGAGACATCTCAAAGCATTTCAGAGAATAAAGTGAATTGACTGGATATATTTTGTGGGCTAAATGCGGCAGCCAATTGTGCACAACTATGTCCCATAAACATTAGTGGATTGAGTGATCAAATGATTATTATTTTTATTTGGAAGGGATTATTACCCACGGAAAGCGATCCCCAATTGACTAACATACGGGATCCTAGGTAAACAGAGATGAAAGAAGTAAGGCTTGTTACCAAGAATTTCACCCTGCGCAGGAATCAAACCCAGGTTCTCTCGCTTGAGTGCGAGTGGTCTAACCAATACTCTACAGAACTTCTGGAAAGTATATCTACTTTTCCTGGGTGGGCACCGAGACCCTCAAAACCATGCAGGTAAAGAGGAAAGGACAGTAAGCAAGCCGGGCTCGTTACATTGATAATACCAGGAGCCGAGTTTGAAGCAGAGATTGGCACAAGTTTGGGCTCGTCTGCAGGCATTTCAGCCGGGGCTGGTTAGACTGGCTGGTTTGTTACGTTTTACAGTTAAACAAATCTTCCCATCAACACGTAACCATAAATCCAAATGCGAAGTAATAACGCAGCAGATTGTTACACCTCAGATAAGGTAGGGGGAAAGAGGAAACACTGCATCACAACATCACTCCCGACATGGACAGAGCAGTGATGCAATCCTCTTGTGACAATCTCCAGCCTCACCCCCGATGGTGCTGTTTAATTGGTCGCTCGGAGTCAGGGCAACCACAAAGGTGTGGCAAATAAATAAATAGACCTGATCTATTGCGTAGCACAGATACGTCCCTCGTCTATGTCAGTTTATATACACCTTGATCTGTACCAAACCTTAACTGCAAACTCCAGTCTTTATCTCACTCTCAGGATCCTCCATTATTCTACAGATAAACCACAAGCGAGTAAGGGCTGGCCTTTCATAGATCTCCATTTTGAATCGCCTTGAGTCACTTTGCAAGTGCTGTAAAACTCACATAAATCTTATCTTTAAAAATTGTATAATAGTAATTGTACTCGTGTACATGGACACGAGTCCCATTCAGTTCAATGCTTGCAGTAAGCTTGCATGCGGAGATGGATCAAAACTACATTTCCAGTGATTCAAAGCAGCTGCCTGTGCAATGACAAACTACAGTAAGCGCACTTACCAACTGCATTGAATTACGCATGCAGATAAGATTATTGATGAAATCGGATTTTGTACGAATTTGCCTGCAAAACGGACTTCACATAAGTCATTTTAAATTTTATTGTCCCGACTGACAACATTTTTTAAAAAGATTTTACTGTAATTGATGTGAAGTGCAGCCCATAGTAAGATCCTGTAAACAGCCATGAAGGTGAATGACTGATTATCCGTGGAGATTTTTCTGCAGCACACAAGGAGAAATACCTACATCTCATTCTCCAATAATTCTATTTAACATCCACCTGAACAGCTGGCAACACATCTCATTCGATGGTCACTGAAATGTTTCTCCACCACTCGAGTGTCAGCCTGGACGACAAACTTATTTCAATGTCGACTTTGAATCCCAAACTGCGCTAATCTTTGGAAGTCCTCCCGGCATGAAAGGTGCAAGATGAGTGCAAGATGAGTGCAAGATGTTGCTGCAAATCGCTGAGGAGCTGTACATGTTGCGCTTCAGATTGCCCACACATACGTACCTGTTTGCCAACACTGGGGTCTCCTTCAACGAGGATCCAGTCATATTTGATAATGTCATGGTCATCCCTGCTTTCCAATCCACTCAGGACCACATTCTCATCGGGCTGTACAGTGCGGTCGTAGCCGGGTTTCGCTATCGGTTTTCTGTCAACTAAATTAAAAGAGAAACGGCGGATCTGTTAATAAGAGGCAGGAACTCAAGATTGTCACTGGACAGGCTAAAAGGAGGCTAGAAGAACCATTTTCAGATAGAGTGCTGTTGGCACATGGAAAACTCTGCCACTAAGGCTGACTTTTACTTTATTCAGTCAAAGAGCGTACAGAAGTGTCACACAAACAGCCATGGAGCGAGTAACCAATATTATTTGGGGGATTATTGGCCAGGACCCTGGGAAAAACGCTTCCCTTTTCGAAGAGTGCAAAGTGATCTTTAACTTCCACCTGAATACCAGACAGGATCTCGATTTAACGTCTCATCTTAAGGACTGCAACTCCAACAATGCAAGACGCCCCCAACACTGCATAGAGTGTTAGCTTAAACTATGCGATTCCAAGTCCCGTTGTGGGGCTTGACCCCACAACCTTCTGACTCAAAGGGAGAGTGCTACCAGGCTGCCACACAATGCCACCTAAACATGGTAAAGCCAATGTGTCTGGATTTCCTAGCGTCATACATCCAGGACATCCAACACCATGGAACTTGAACTTGCAGGTATTTGCTCTGCTCAGTTCCAGCAGAGTCTGATATTTTCAGGAAGATAAAAGGTTAGGGTAGAGTCCAAAACAGGTTACACTGTATTGTGAGGACTTCCTGGGTGGATTGACTTTGCTCAGTCTCTTTATCAGCTTGTAAAAGGTCTCTGAAAGAGAGCTCTGAAATTCTTAAGAGCTTGGTATTAATTACACCTGCAGCCTTTACCAACCTATTCACAACTAGGTTTTATTTTGATCTTGTCAATATGGTGTCTTCTATTTGATCCATGTTCACCACATTACTCTCATTAATTAATGCGACACAGTGAGTCTAACAGAGTGGAGCTCACCCCCAAGTCACTTAACCAGGCAACAGGATAAAAATTCTGATCCCTTTCCTCCCAATAAAACCTTCCAGAATTAACATTGTTAAACGCCAAAGTTATGCTCCCTGGTTACGTTTCACTTGGCTGGTGTTTGATGAGCCTTTGAAGGCATGTAGTTAGGTTGGCATTTTCACAGAAACCATGTTCAATGAGTTGTAGCTATTTCTCTGAACTGATAACAATCGAGATAGCTGGTGTCAGGAAGCTGATAAAACTTACCCTGTCTGGTAATCCCATCAATTTGTAGGCCATTAATAGGGATTCCTCCCCTCCCTAGTCAGCCAGGTGGGTGTCTGACACATGCATAAACTATGAGCTAGAAGGTCAGTGATGGAGATTTTACAATTAATCTCAATAATAATAATCATTGCATTTGATATAGCGCTTTTCACATCTTCTAGACATCAATATACCTAGATTGGGGGGGGTCGCTCCTGATTGTAATCAATAACCCACATGAGGATATTGGATAAGATAGAATTGGGCTAACCAAATGGCCTACAAGTAACTAATAATAATCCTTGCATTTAATGTAGCACCTTAGCACATTATCCAAATGTCTCAAATAGGATTTAACCACTGTATACCTTGTAAGTGAACATTGTAGCCAATTTGTGCAATGTCCCACACATAGTCATGAAGTGAATAACAACAACACCAACAACATTACATTGTGTAGCTCCTTTCATGTCGGGAGGACCGATTTTAACTTGAGGATTTTTAGTCACGACATCGGGAGAAACTCCCTTCTCTTTTCAAATAATTAAAATCAATTTCAAATAGTGCCACGGGATCGTTAATTTCCAGCTGAGCGGGCGGATGGGAACTTGTTTTGTGCCTCATCGTCTGAAGGATGGCACTTCTGACAATGCAGCATAACACCAAACTGCACTGAAGTCTCAGTCTGGACAGTCTAGACCTCTGCGGATATTAATTCACTCAGCCCACAGATGAATGGTAAGGTAAGAGAGGAACCTATGGAACTGTATCCAGTAGAGAAAGTGAAGGGTAAACTCAGTGCTTGACAAGGTCTGTAAGACTGCGTCACTGTCCCAGTAACTAATGACAGCCCCAATAACTATAACAGGATATTAACCAGATGTTATCTGTAATTATAGCAATCCCAAGCCATACAGAAACCTTCCTGGCAAAGAAATAAAGAGGCCCAAGACTAAACCAGCAGAGATATCCATGCGATTAGCACTCAATCCATGAGTCATGCAGCAATGGTTCTCAAATGATTCTTAGCAGAGGGTGACTGGTACTCCAAATCAATAATTAACCGAGAAAGGGAAGGGGAGAGGAGCGAGAGAGGGGAAGGAGTGTGGGGGAAATAGTGAGTGCAAGCAAGAAAGGAGACAAAGCGCAAGTGAGAAAGAAAAGAGAAAAAACGAGAACGACTAAGAAAGGAGAGAGAACCCGTGAGAGAGAAAGGAGAGGGAGCAAGAAAAAGAGGGAGCAAACGAGGAGAGAGAGAGAGACAGAGACAGAAAGATGAGGTCTAATTTCATTGCACTATGGAACATTCCCACAGTTCCTCCACATTACAATTGGCCCACAGTAAACTTCATCCAAAGCTTGGGAATCACAGCCACAGAGGTTGTGGGTTCAATCCACTCTCCAGTAATTTATTATATTAAGACTAACTTTCCCACATTATAATCTGGAGACAGGGATACTAGATTGAAGCGATTGCTCTAAGTACAGCTAGTCCTACAAATGACCCAGGTTTCCTTACTCCATATGCCTCTGTTTACCTAGCAGTAATTTGGAACCCAGTCATAAGTCGATTGGCGGATTGCTTTCCGGGGATAATAATAATCCCTCCAAAAAAAAATTATCACTCAATCCACGATTGTTTGTGGGGCACTGTTGTGTGCAATTGGCTGCCGTGTTTTGCCCACAAAATACACAGTTAATCCACTTTACAGTATATTCTGCGAAGCACTTTGAGACATTTCAACAACGTGATCAGGCGCTATGTCAAATGCAAGAATATACATATATACACATACGCATGCGCACACGACCACTAACTGACAACTGCCTTTATTTAACACTTTTCTAACTTCACCTGTGGCCTCGTGACATTTGAGGCGGATTCAGAGAAAGCTGATCTGAAAAGGAAAACTAACGAACCTGAGCCAAACTTCAGAATTCAGACTTGGGACTGGAAAAAGTGTGGGTAGTAATGATAAAACAATAAAGGTGGCCCCATTGCATCCAATGAAACCAAATCAACTGTCAATAATCCACCAACACCTAACAATCTAGATCAAACCCAGTGATATGTACTCAGTGGTAGCACTCCAGCCTAAAGAATCAGTAAATGGTGGCATCAAGCCCCTCACTAAGCAGTCCGGTTGCATAGTGGCTAGCGCCCTCGCTTCGCAAGCTTTAGGAGAAGGATTCGATTTCCGGGCAGGGCGAACCCTTAGGCAAAATTCCTTACTCCACACACCTCTGTTTACCGCACAGCCAGTAGGAACCCAGTTATTAATCGATTGGCGGATCCCTTTCCGGAGGTAATAATCCCTCTAAATTTTTTTTAAAAAAATGAATAGATAGGATGATAGGTCTACCTGCACCAACAGCGGGACACTTGCCAGGCAACAGTCTCCATGGCAAGTTTTATCTGGTTAAACTCCATCTGAACCCACAACCCATTGGATGCCCAACCTGCGTCTAATAGCCTGTGGCATTGGAGAAGCAGGATGCATCCCTACAGGGAGTGAGTTTGCATTCTATTTCAGATATAGGGAAATTTCTGTATGTAGGAAAGAGAAGGGAGTTTCGAAAAGAGAAGGGAGTTTCTCTCTCCTGGTATCCTGGCCAACAATAGGTCACTCACACCATGGCTGTTTGTGGGACATTGCTGTGAGCAATTGGCTGCCGCATTTCACTGTCAAAATGCACGTCAAACTAGTTTACGGTGTATCCCGTGAAAAGCTCCGAGACATCGTAGCAAGGGTTTATTATTATTATTATTCACATATGGAACTCTGACTGGCTGTATGATGGCGAGTTTCTGCATGTGTCAAGATACCCAGCTGACCAAAATGTTTTCTTAAAATCCACACACACTGGTTCTGTTCAGGAGAATGTTCACAGCAGAGTCACAGGATAGTGAGATGGGAGAGAAAGATCACCACAAAAAAGATGTTGTTCCTTCTGTCTCTTGGAGCTCAGCGGGCGAGTGGTTGAGACCAGGACATTAGACTAATTTACAAAACAGTTTGATACTATGATGCGGGGACAGTAGGGTGGAAGTTCTGCAAGGAGGAGCCAATCCTGTGTTCTTGCGAGAAGAACTATGCTATCTGGGGATGCTTGGTTTGTGTGCGCGTATGTGAGTGTGTGTATACGCCGATGTATAATAATAATCCTTGCATTTGATATAGTTCGTTATCAAGTCGTTTAGACTCCTCAAAGTGGTTCCCAAAATATATTGTAAAGTTGACTGACTGTGTATCTTGCCGACAAAATGGGATTGAGTGACCAAATTATTATTATCATTTGGGGTGAGGGATTATTACCCCCGGGTAAGCGATCTGCCAATTCACTTAACAACCAGGTTCCTTCTTACTACTAGGTAAACAGAGGTGTCGGGAGTACAGAAACCTACCTAAGGTTTTGCCCCACCCGGGAATCAAACCTGGGTCCTCTGGTTTGCGAGGCGTTTGCTCTTACCATTATGCTATGTGACTCCACAGGGGTATCACAGCGGGGGAAACCCAGGAAGCAAATGGGCCTGAAAGTAAGAGGATCCTAGACCAGTAGGTCACCAGAACAACAGTGCAGTCAATTCCTGCTACGTGTCCCAAGGCTATGCAGGAAGCTGTAACTCTGTGTGTGTTTAATGAGATATTGATAGATTTCTGTAGAACAGGTTCGGAGTAACCACACCCTTAACCAGCTGTCTTGACAACAAAACTACTCTACAGAAAGGTGTGGGATGAAAAAAGCACAATGCTAACTATTCTAAACAACCATTTTGTACGACTCTGCTAAAACAATGTCTCGCAGCACTTGAATTGTCTCTGCATTGTGTATTCCATTTTTCTTCCACTGT